TCTGTGGGATTTGAACTCTAGACCTGCCACTTGGAGAGGGTGACGACTAGACTACTACACTAAGTCGCCACACCTCTCTCTCACAGCATATAATTATATACTTCATTGTAATCTATTTCTGATAATAAAGAATTAGTAAAGCAGCCTATAGTTAGGTGCCTAAATTATTTTTGGCTTGCTATAAATAAAAATTGCTAAAAATATTTTAGACAGCCTAAATCGTAAATAATTTTGGCTGCTGAAAATATTCCTGGCTGTCTAAATAATTTTGGCTGTCTAAAATAATTTTGGCTATCTAAAATACTAAATAATTTCAGCTGTCTAAAATAATTTCAGATGCCAAAATTACTTCCAAATGCCAAAATTATTTTTTGGCATTATTGTGCATAAATTTAACTGACAATACTTTCAAATTTTTTTTTTAATTACTAAATACTATTACTTTATACTTACCTACTAATTATTTTACTTTTATTTTATTTTTGTGAAAATCTTGATCTAATTCTTTTGCTCATCTCAGATATATGTTTGGAAATTTAAAATAGCTATCGATATATACATGTGGATCTAATTATTTTGGGCTTGTTGAAAATATTTTATAATGCTAAATTTCAAATAACAAATATTTAGAATTATGAATTATTTTAAGTGATAAATATTTAAAATGATAATATTTATTTTATTATCTATTATTGCCCATCTCGCTTATTCTGGTAGTTTAAAGCTAAAATTTAATATTGTCTATATATAAAATTTTTAAATTTTAATAATTTATTGATAATTTTTTTTATATCAAATAATGTAGGTTTTGGGCTATCTTTTGATATATTTTTTATTATTATTCTATAAATAATTTGTTAAGTAATAAATTTTTTAAAAACTTCAATTTTTTAAAAAAAAAATAATTTTTTTTAAAAAAATCAGATTTTAAGCATTTTCATAGGCTATATGCAGTGTAACAAGTTTGTACTATGCAAGTGCATAGCTGTGCATATCCAGAATATACAGTTAAAATTTTAGCTTAATTGGATCAATGGTTGTTAAAATATAAATTTTTAAAGTTTTTTAAAATTTCATAACCAATTTACTATGTTGTACAAAAGTTGTACAAAAATTACTATAGTAATTTGTACAACATCTATATAATATAGTAATTTGGTTGAAAAACTTTAAAAATTCATATTTTAACAACTATTAATCCAATTAAGCTAAAATTTTAACTGTATATTCAGGATATACATAGCTATACACTTGTTTAGTACAAACTTGTTATACTGCATATAGCTTGTGAAAATGCTTAAAATCTAATTTTTTTTTAAAAAAATTTTATTTTCTTTTATAAAATTAAAAATTTATTACTTAACAAATTGTTTATAAAATAATGATAAAAAATATATTAAAAGATAGCCCAAAACTTACATTATTTGATATAAAAAAATTATAAATAAATTATTAAAATTTAAAAATTTTTATATATATAGACAATATTAAATTTTAGCTTTAAACTGCCAGAATAAATGAGATGTGCTATACTAGATAATATGCAATATCATATGTCAAGAGCCCATATAATTAACAATGCATACTATGTACTGACATGCCTTTAACACTAATGTTAAGATTATAAAAGTGTGTAGATAATCAAAAATTTTCTAAATTATTGCTTTGATATAATTTTCATATTTATGCAGATGTATCAAAAAGGTATATTTTTATATGATCAAAATGTATCAAAAATGTAATGTTTGTATACCTTATATAAAGATTGAGTTCTCCACTATGCTTTGGGCAATTATCTATAAAGGACTTTATATAGTGCACTCACAAAATTGTTTCTCCTGTAATTATTAACCATTTTTTTTTTTTTTTTTTTATATTGCCAAACGTAGAAACTTTATTAGGCATGATAATTATTAACCAATTAAAATTAAGATTAGATAAAAAGTGATATTCAAAATGTACAAAATATATATAAGAAATTGTATATAAAATTAAAGCCAATAAGCCACGCTATAGTTAGAATTAGAATTAGAACAATGCGGCTTCTATTAGCAAACTTTTACAAGAAGTATCCTTAATTAGGCTGCAGAAGTGATTTTCTAATTAATATTTAGAGCTATTGTTTTTTCTTTTAATTTATAACTTGTGTTACATCTAATCTTGAAATTTGATTGGTTTAAATTAAGAGAAAAGCTTGGAATTGATGAGTTTCAAGCATTGTTTAATTACAAACTTTAGAATTTTAGTATCAGTTGACCGAAAATTCAAATGTTCATTGAGTTTTTTGAAATATCATAACTATTTATAAAAAACTTATTGTAATATTAAATATAATTTTATTTTTTTGTTTGGAATAACCCAAAAAATTTATCATCAAAACAAATATATAGTAAATTTTAGCTCTGGCCAATGTTTGAAGATGACCAAATTAAAACTCAACAATAAAGGTTTATTTCAATGCTCAAAATTTTTGAATAATTATTTATTGATTCTACCCACTATTAATAGGTAGTACAATTTTACAGTAATAGATTAAGTTTATTTTTTTTAGCAACAGATATAAATTTGGCAGCTAAAAATGATTATAGCTACCAAAAACAATTATAGCTAACATAAATAATTGCAGCTACCAAATTAATTATGGCTGCTGAAAATGATTTCAGCATTTTGAAGTAGCATGATAAAAATATAAAAAATATCAGCATGCCATAATGCCATAAATACTTCTGAATTTAGACACTTATATATAGAGCAGCCTAATAGTAGCCTAACAGCAACTTTTTAAAAAAGACAAATCAAATTCACACTTTGTTCTACCTTCTTTAGTAGAATCTTAAATCATATATAATATGATAAAACTATACAATTTTCTAACATTATTTTATAAACATTGAATTATAAGTTAAAATTCTTGCTTAATTGTTTATTTAAATATGAACCATATTATTTACTATTATAGATTGTTTTTATAGTACCTGTTTCATCCATAACTCATCTAGTTATTTTCATATTTACACACTATATTGTGCAATTATTTATTTAATACTATATGTAGATAAATTAGCAAATCTAAATAGGATATATTGCTTTATTTAAATTTAACGCTAATATATATAATGCAAGTAATAAACCTGATAATTATCAAAAATATAATTAATATTAGAAACTCAATCTTTTCTTTGTCAATGTGCAGTAGATTATTTCTAATAAAATTTATGATTAGTGTTAGATATCTAATTTATTAGTTGCAGTTTTGCTCATGGTGCATTATATTTCTTTATAGACTAAAACAGACAGAATTTTTTTATACAAATTTTATAAGATCATATCATATTTATCTGATCATTCCGATCATTCTTACTATTCTAATATAGCATAGTACTTAAAGAAATAAAATTGTAATAAGGTTTTAATAACAAATAACAAAAACTATACTTACATTTTTGTTTAACTTAGACTAGTTAAAGCAATATAATGCTTAAAAACAATTTATTTTATTTAAATTATACTTATACACTTGTTTAATTTAAACTAATTAAATTAAAAATAATAAGGTTCTAAATAATTTATACTTATGCACTTATCTTATTTAAATTTATTAGTGTAAAAATAATTATATTAAATAGTTGTATAAAATAGTATTTATTAGTCATAATTGCAAAAAAAACTTTTAATTTATAATACTTTTTTAGCTAAAATTATGGCTGAAAAGGAAAAAACTCCACTTATTACTCCTTTTACCATTGCTGCTAGAGAAAAAAGCAAGCAACAAATATCAAGTATTAATTCTGGAGATTCTTCAAGCAATAAATCAGAACTCTGGATTTATTATGTAATAGTAATAATTTGCACAATTTTAAAGTATCATGTTTAGCTAAAGAATTCTTAAAATGAGATTTAAGTTGGCCAAAAAAGTTTCCATAGTATATTATAGAGAAGGTACTCAAGCAAATTATATGTTTTATCATTGGTGCCAAGAAGCAAGCAAACAAAATAGCTTTACTTCTGGCTATAAATACTTTAAATTGCAATCTTTAACTCAACATATTGCAAATAAAGATTATCAATCTGTTGTTGCAGCTCATTCAATGGAAACTTAAGCAGATATTCAAGTTTCTTTTGTTATTCAAGCTAGAATAGATAAACAACAAGTTATGCAAAATATGCGAAATATATATTTTTTAGTTAAGCATAATTTAGCAATGAAATAGTAATCAAGATGAATTTAGTATTATATCAAATAAATTATCTCTTGTTAATAATTAGCTTTTAAATAATAATGCTCCATATGCTAGTTATACTAATAATAAATCAGTTTATGAATTTATTGAAGCAATTGGGTGTGTAATTAAACAATCTATTTTTGAAGAATTATGTTCATCCAAAAGTTGAAGTATAATGTTAGATGAAAGTACTACTATATTTACTAAAAAAATATTATTATTATTATTTTTTTTTTAACAATTTAGCAGTCATGCCTTTACTTTATTAGGCTTTGTAATAATTAGTCTAGACTATTAAAATTTTAGAGAGACTTATTGATAAGTGATAAACTCTAAACATGTCAGCAGATAGCATATAAGAACTATCTCTAAACGACATGCGCTGCGCCCAAGGGCCACACAACTATAACTAAATTACAAGTAAAAACTAACCTGGTTGCTCAATGAGTACCTATGTTCGGCCTGCTATAATAGGATTCTCCTCATTTCGGACTTCTCCTGCAGTTGGATATAACCCGGCGCTCAACAAATAGTACCTACTGCCCATCATGACTACCTCTCTCTTCTTTCAGACTTCTTCTATTTAAGCCCAATCACAAAATTAAAACCCTTATTCATACATAAAAGTAAAAAAAATGAAGCCATATTTATGAAAAACATAAACCTTTTAGAAAAAAAACACCTCACAGTAGAAAAAAAAAACTTTTCAACAAATTCTAAAATAATCTAACATAAATAAACCAAAATAAAAAAAGCAAAAAAAAAGAAAGGTAGCCATGACACACTATTATAGCCTGTGCCAGGCATAAGGATAAAAATTATATAATAATTGTAAATAATTAATATATCTTGATTGTAAGACATTACCTTATTGTAGAGAACTCATTCCAGGCACTGAAAAACTCAGGTATCTTCTAAATGAGGTACTGATCTTTAGTAGGACAAAAAAGGGAGTTCTGGGGTTATTTTTTCGGTACCCTGGGTACAAAGTATTCATTTTGCTATTTAGATTGCTCAAGAAGTCTATATTCTATAAAAACACTTTACTACCTATATAAAAATCTGGGTACCAAAAATTATATAGTTAGAATTCTCTATTTTTATATTTTATAATCAAATTGGATAACGACAAAAAAATAATCACATCGTCATACCAGATATCATATACTATTCACCTATATATAAATCAAGGTACCAAAAATTAAGTATCTATTTT